GCACTTTACACAATTATAAGATGAGGTACTCAAGTGAAAAGGAAATTAAAATCCCACTCCTAAATATTCTAAGTAGTTGCAGCTATGACAGTAATTATGTGTGTAAAGTGTTCTTTCTGAAACTGGTGATAATGAGAGATGTAGAGTTCAGAGATACTTGGGTTAAAACTACAACCTTAAAAATCCTGTTTAGGGCCCTCCCTGGTGGCGCAGCAGCGGGTTAAAGCACAGCACTAAGAAGCTAAAGCCGCTTCCCCATGAATTCTATCCCCTCCTGCCCAGAAGGTGATCCACATGGTGTGGCAGACCTCTCCTGGCCCGCCTGCTGCTCCCCTCAGCAGAGTACTTCGTTGATCTGCCTGTTCTGCTCCCAGCTTTCTCTCTGGTGAAGCCTCTCACTGGCCCTGTACCTCTGGCCTGTACCCCATTTCTGTATGCATAAATAATTTAAAAAAATCCTGTTTAGAAAATATACATTGAAGTATTCAGAGCAAAGGACATGAAGTATGCAACCTACTCAAAAAAGGCTTAGCATCAGGAAATGCATACATAATATATACAAACACACACACATACACAGAGTTATGTAGCTTATGACGATAATAGGTTCTGAGAAATACGCCATTAGTTGATTATTCTGTCATTGGGCCAGTATCTTTGAGGGCAATTTCATAAGCCTAGATGGCACAGTCTGTTACGGGTCTTGGCTATAGAGCACAGCACTGGGACCAGCATCACTGTTGGCCAACATGTCACTAAGCATTATGTATATAAACGGACAGACATAATGATTAAGCAAGTGTTAAAAACTGATGAGTCTGGATAATGGGCTAACAGAAGTTGCCCATAATACTTTTGCAATTTTTTTTATAAATTTAAAATGATTTCAAAATATTCAAAAACCATCAGAAAACAACATGCAACCATAAAAAAAAAAAACTCCAAGATTGTAACTAGTAAATTGATGTCTAAGCGATTTACTAGCTGAAATAAACCTATTCAAAGTAAATTTTGCCAACAGTTTTACTACTTGTAGCTTGTCATCAATAATGCACAGATATGTACAACTAAAGATATACACAATAATATCAACCACAGTACTCTTTTTACAGCCAAAAAAAGCTAGCAATAACCCACATGTCCATAGACTAAAGAATGAATAAGCTGTGATATATTAAAGGTAATACTATACAGAAATTTAAAAAATGAGTTGAAATGAGTACAAAAACAAAAACAAATCTGCTATGTGAATGTTCAGTGAAAGAAGTCAGATATAAACGAATGCAAATTGTATCCTTCCATTTATGTCAAGTTTAAAACTAGACAAACTTGAATTACAGAGTTGTAGGCCAGGATGAGAGGTTTGATAGAGGAAAGTGAGAGGATCTGCAAGGATGCTGTTTACAATCTATGAGGTGCTGGGTGGGGGTGATATAGTGGGTCACTATGATGATCTATAGGGCTCTGTGCTTATGACCAGTGTACTTTTTAATCAGTCTTTCTGACCATTTGATTTTATGTTGTCAAATTATATTAAAAAAAAAACAGTGTACAAAAAGTATAGAGTGCTGATTTTTAGAATTGCCAATTGTTAAACAACCAGGTGCAACCCAAATGTCCATCAACAAGAGAGTAAATTTTCTTGTATAGAATGGAATACTACACAGTGATAAAAATGAATAGTCAAATTCTACATAAAAACAGAAATAAATCTCACAACTTCTAGCTCAACAACTGTCCTTTAGAAAAGTTCTTAATTTATCATAACACTTTCTAAAGGTTGTTAACAGCACACTAAGAATTTAAATAGTCAATAAGACCTCATAATTTCAAATTATAAGGCAAAGCAATTCTCCAACAATGACTATATCTAAATATGTGTAGTTAAAAGTGCAAACATGATAGGCTATCCATTTTCAACTACATACAAAATCAAGTATCTAGAAAATGCAAAAGATCCCATAGGCTATCTGAAAGAGATACCATCAACATGATTCTGTGCTCATTCTGTGTTGTACACTGAGATTCAGAAAAGTAAGTCTATGTCATTGAAAATCAAGTAAATGCCTACAAAATATTCTACAAATTTAAAAACTAAGATATATCACCCATCACTCTACTACAGTTGTTTAAATCAGTGGCTTTAGTTTCCATAAGATATGTACACAGAGACTAAGGGGAAAAGATTTGATCAAGAGCAGTTTGCTTAGCGTATGTTAGTACCAGGTTTTTGTTCCTTCCCCAAAACAAAGCTTATACTCTCAGCCCCACTGCAGAGAAGAACACAAACAGCAATTCCAAAAAATAACTTAAAAGGATAATTATCAAATAAAAAATTAGTTTTAGAAGTTCTGGAACACTGATTTTAAAATTTTCTTAATAACATTAATTGGCATTGAAACCAATACAATTAGAAACAGATTAGAACAAGCACAATGTCAGGGTCACTCCAAAATGAATTAGGCACATTTTAGTAATATATCAGCATATCACTGCAGAAAATTTTGCTTTGCAAACAGAGGACACTGATCTCACCTGATTTCATTTTCATACTGTGGGGACAGTCTACCTGAATTCTGGTAAAAGCTTTTCAGGAAAGAGGGGGCAGTGAAGGAAGGGGCAGAGAAGGAAGTGTGGAGACTTGGAAGACTGGAGGAAGAATTACTCTCCTTGTACATGCGCCGAACTGGTGGAAGAATGCTGAATACAGAAAATACAGCAAATTTGTCTTAATTTATATTTCAGCAAAATCTTCATTCACTATGAAAAAGCATATAGACAGGTTCTTGCTATTAATTTAATCAGTGTTTGAAAGGCTTAAGGTTGAATCTTATATAGGAAAAAGAAGCAGCATGCACTTTTTTATTTAGTAACTATGATTTAGTTTCACTCTTTCATAAATCAAACTCATCTATGTGTTATTTCTAAACATATGTGTTTACCACTATAAAATGCTTAACAATTTCCAGTCTAAAAGTGCTTGTTCTTACATGCATAAGATACTTCAAGGGCACACAAAAACACTGATTGAAAAAGATACCTGCACCCCCATGTTTATTGCTGCTTTATTTACAATTGGAAAAACATGGAAACAGCCCAAATGCCCAAAAGTAGATGACTGGATTAAAATATGTGGTACATATATACAATGGAATATTACTCAGCAACCAAAAAAAGAGAAACACATGTCTTTCACAGCAACTTGGATGGAGCTGGAAAAGATCATGCTTAGTGAGATAAGCCAGAAAGAGAAAGAAAAATACCGGATGGTTTCACTCATAGCAGGAGTATAATGGACCAGGCAAGAAAATAACAAGAATAATGAACAACCATATACCAGAGATATTTTGTGGGGGTGGAGTGGGTAATGGGATCAAAATCGGGGGAGGGGGAGGGAAGTGCACGGGATTATGGTGATGGCACACGGGTGACTTGGTGATGGGAAACCTGCGGGGGTTACAATTGAGATGGAAAAAAAATGTACAAAATGATGTAAAAATAAACTGTTATAAAAAAATGTTTGAGAAAACACATACTAGTTTTCATAGGCTCTGGAAAAAAAAAAAAACACTTCAAGGGCAGAAGTATGAAAGCACAATAATTACAGGAAACAAACTCCAGAAGGAAAAACTGATTATCAGTAGTTCAAAGACTTAAGTATTTTAAAGATATAAACCCTTCCAAAATTTCAACAAGATCAGGTATGGTTACTGGAAGACATCATAACACCTTTGGTTTAACAAGCCTTAATGTCCATGTTCTTTGCTACAGCCTATGGAATTGTGCAGACAGGATTCTATCCAAATCCCTCAATTTTCTACATAATTCTTATTTTCAGAAAATTCTTTCTATAGCAAGTTTCACAGTGAAACCAAACGTACCTTTGTATATTGATAGAAACATATGAGCTTATATATTATGAAATGTAAAAACATGGACTGCATTTATAATAATTTAAAATAAGTCATGTTTTAATTTTCAAAAATAATTTTTCTTGGGAAAAGGAGATATATTGCTTTGGATAAATATATATGAGGCAATCATACAAAGACTTGCTACACACATGAATACTACACTTTCTTTTTTTTAACAAAAGAACACCTGAAAAGAAGTAACACATTGATTCATTTTTATATATCTTAAATATCTGATTTTTTTATCCCAAACTTTCGAGATTCAAAAACAGTGCGAATAAACTGTAATCTGAAAAAAATGGTGGTAAATTTCATAACAGCTGATATAAAAAAATTATCCTATTTTTACTTAAGAGTTCATGATACATCCTGTTCGCTCTGCCAAATTCACAGGTAAAGAGGAAAAATAAAGTTAGTCCTAGGATATAAATGCTGTTTTGTGCTACACATTAAGAAGTATAATCACATGACCAATCTAGGATTAGCCCCTTTATTATTCCTTCCCAAATGTCAAACAATTTTCCCAAATTATTTTTTAAATACTATGTGAGATAAATGTTTATGGTCACATCCTGACAACTAGGATAATTTTTATTATATGCGAGAAAAAAAATTAACAATTTTCATATTTTATTATGAAATAAAATATAGCCAAATTTTATCACATAGGTGAAGGTAAAATTAGGTGATTTTTTTTTAACCCTTGTATTTTATAGTAGGCTAACAGGATGTGCTACTGTTATCTTATTCTTGAATTTGCTGACTTTGTTTCAGTAGTGCCATCATCCAGAAGACAGTAAAAAACATGTTGTCAGCAGGTTTTCCCAACAACTGTATATCTCCATTTTTGTAGGGGGGTGGGGAGTTTCCATCCAAAATGTTTAATCTCTTCTCTTTGGGTATGCTTTAACTCTGGCTTCATTTACTTAATAACTGTGGTTTTTATAACTCATTGTATTTTTATGATCTTTTCTAAAAACAACGTTAGCTACAACATGAAGCCACAATATTGCTTGACTCCACCGTGCACAACACAGAGTGACAGGAGAATTTTATTTCCCATTCCGCAGAAGGCTCTGGACTCACCTGCACTGTTCGCTGGAGCTCTGCCTCAGAAGAGGGGAGCGAACCATGTGGGCCCTCCCATCCTGTAAATGCAGCTTCCTCTTTGTGCTCGAAGGTGGGTGGCTGAATGTGTGTGCCCTTCTTCGAAATTGTGGGGAGTCAGAATCCTCCTCGGGGAACGTGTGCCAAGCTGAGGACAGGGGGGAGGCTGGTGGAGTCCCTGGTGGCGAGTCTCCTGGTGAGCAGTCCTGAAAGGCAAGCAGGAGTGAGCTAAGGGATCATGGCTGATCCGCTTCAACACAGAGCTCAAAAGTGACAGGGTGCTGCTTCTTCCTCCTGAGTCATGACAAAACTTTTTTTTTACTCAATCTATGCAGAAGGCTAATCAGTATCACCACAAACTATTTCTTCTGATAAGCAGCTGTAAGACAACATCCGTAAAGATAGTCCAGAAAGTGAAAGGGAGGATAAGGAAGGTATCCTCTCCCCTGATGCTTTGTGGTAAAATGCTATAGCCACTGTATTTTTGTCAGTGCTGTAACAAAGATGAAAAAAGACCATGACCAAAAGAGGGTGGAGTTTGTGTTTACATATCTACTGATTTCCGTGACCTATCAGCTGCCTGTTTCCTGTACTGTCAAAACAATATCACAATGTGAAAGTGTTCAAATCTCATGGCACAGCCTTCAGGAAAATAAAATAAAGGCTGTTAAGTATCTTCTTTCACTGTGGCTGTTTCTATCCAACTCCATGGTCCCTGAGGTAATTTTTTTTTTTTTAAATACATGAAAAACAGGAAACGAATGAAAAGTGAGCTATGCAGGAACGCATCTCATGTTGCATGGGTAGACATCATAAATCTTTCAGTTGAGACAGGTAAGCTGCTTATGCTTCCCAGAACAGGCACATTGTAGAAGTGTCAAGCTTGATAAACAAGAGCTAGGGCTAATCAACATATTGCTGGCTAAGTCCTCAATTCCCTCAACAGAATGTTTAGTAAAAACATTTCAGTATTTTCCCATTAAAAAAAAAAGTGTTACATACACCCCTGGTGACATGTTGCATGATACAGGAAACAGGAAACTGAACCTACTGAGAATTGTCTAGGAGATAAAGAAGAGCCTTGTGTTGCAGTTAAAATGGTTAAAAAAGAAAAAAAAGTGGGAAAATAAAAGTTACATGGGAAGAGAATAAGGATGTGAAGATCACAAGTATAGCAATGACATGCCTCATTTTTCTACGGCATCAGAACAACATTAACTACTATTAATTACTGTCCTCCCGGAGTAAACTATCTCAAAGCAGCAAAAACCCAAGAGCAACAGCCAGCCTGACAGGAATAGTATTCTGTCCCAATAAGAGAGCCTCAGTTAAAAGAAGAGCTATGTACTTAGATAATACCCAGAAGTTTCTTACTTAAGGTAGTAAAGCTCAAATTTTAATTATTTTAAAAGTCATAAAGGACTCATTATGAGGTAATTAAGCAAGCATATTACCATATCAATGTTTTTTGCTGAATTGAAATTATCAGTAAAAAAGGAATCCTTATTAGATACCTTCTCTGAGGCAAGACTGTTGGATCGTTCAAAGCTGTCCATGCTTCCGAGTCTACCTCTCATTCTGTTAGCTCCCTGAGTGAAGAGAATTAAATAAGACTGTTTGTCCAAATAATTTGAATTGTTATATTCCTGTTATAAATAGCAGTTACAAGTTACTTCTTCATGTTAGCATGAAAACCATCCTTCTTTGGTTCACTCAAATTTGTTGGCAGTATCACAACCATGCCAACAGAGTAAATAGAACTATTCACTATCATGTCCAAGCTTTCTAAGTCAGCAATCAGATACCCAAGCCTTCACACCAAGGTTAACCACTATGCACTCACAAAATCAGGAGACCCTCATTCGATCAGTGAGATCCCCCTTGACTTTGTGTTTCATCCAGATAAAAACAAATGTGGGGCCCTCCCTGGTGGAGCAGCAGGTTACAGCACAGCACTAAGAAGCTAAAGCCACTTCAGCATGTGTTCAATCCCAGCCTGCCCTGTGTGTGATCCATATGGCGCGGTAGACCTCTCCTGACCCGCCTTCTGCTCCCCTCAGCAATGTATACTTTGTCAGTCAGCCTGTTCTGCTCCCCTCTCACCGCCCCTGCACTTCTGGCCTGTACCCCTGTTCTGTATACACAAATAAATAAATCTTAAAAAAAAAAAAAACTGGACAGCATAATATAACAAGTAATATAACATACAGTGGAGATGACAAGTCAAAAATGTTTAATACTTCCAACCTATATTGTAAACACCATAATTCCCATTATAGGCTTAAATAAGTACAGTTTATAGAAATGTATAGATTTAGTTTCATTCATTATTCCACAATACAGAACTAAGTCAATAAAGCATTTCTCTCTAGAGGACTAGGTACCAGTCTGCTTTAATACTGGTGAAATATCTTATTTTGCTTTTCCTATTATAGCTGATCTAAGAAAGAGAAATAAGTAGATCATAGAATCAATTTTTAGCAATTTTACATAGAAAGAATGGGGAACCACAACACAAAGGTCTTGAGAGATAAAATACAGACTGGGAATTCTACATAATTCCAGAACACATGGAAAAGTTCCAGAAAGAATAAATCAAAAATATAAGTCAAGTCAGTGAGACAGTGACTCTGAAAAACCAAAGTGCACAGTGTTTATAAAGCACTTGATGGTAACTATGTCTCCATACTTTCTTGGATTTAATTATCTGGGAGAGAGGAAGGGTCTAAATTCACTCTAATTTAACTTAAAACAAATTTAATGCAATTCATTTTTTTAAAGCCTACATTTTTTTTAAACATTTATTTATTTATGCATACAGAACTGGGGTACAGGCCAGAGATGCAGGGGTGGTGAGAGGCTTCACCACAGACAGAATGGGGAGCAGAACAGGCAGATCAACGAAGTACACTGCTTAGAGGAGCAGCGGGCAGGCCAGGAGAGGTCTGCCACGCCATGTGGTCACCCCCGGGGCAGGAGGGGATCGAACTCATGCTGTAGTAGCATTAGTTTCTCAATGCTGTGCTTTAACCCTTTGCGCCACCAGGGAGGGCCGCAATTCATTTTTAATTGATGTAATAACTACACAAAGTTTCAAATGTCAAATTGTGCACTAAACTTAAGAGTAGAAATGGCATTTATCAAACCTTTTCACACACTGAAACTTAGCCCCCAAAAGCTAACACTCAAACTATTTATACTGAAGTTTCTGCTAGTTGTGTATTTTACTCTTCCTTAAGCTTTCCATTTCAGGCACTATTGACTTCCTACTTTGGGAGATGAGATTTGAGTATTACTGCATTGCCATGCCCACATCCACTTCTTTCTTTTCATAGGAACTATAAAACAAGTTTCAGTTAAACCAAAATTTTGTGCTTAGATTTGTATCACCTTGTAAACACTGCTTGCACTTGAGTAGCATTTTTCTGTTAGTATAACTCACCCATCTCATACAATTTGGCTTTCATGGAGTTAACAACGGACTCAATAGCCACTAGTTCCCTAAGAAACTTTGGTCAAACATCACATAACTTATGGTCAAACATCACATAACTTACTAATCACCATTTTTATTTTTATTTGAACAACCCACTTTGGAAACCTGTCTTCCTGCTCTGGTCTAGACTAAGTGACTGCAACAGATTTGCCGAATAGATCCTCCCAGTGTTTTACTTCACCATCAACCTAGAAGTTTCCTTTGAAACCTAATGCTACTCTATGATGGAATTCCATTTCCTTGTCCCCGTGGCTTCCATTATTTTTAGTTCACTTTCTCATTTACGAAACTCATACTCCAAGTGCTTTCTGAGGAATTAGAGTGGGAAGTAGATTCCAAAAATAGTTACATGTCTAAAATGATATTTTATGCTTATAGATCACTGATGGTTTGACTGAATCTAGTTTGGACTATTTCAGAATATGTCAGCAATGCTCAAGTGTTGTCTGGTCCAGGAGTCTAATGTCATTGCAATTTTGAGCCATAATGTGTCTGAACCGCTGTGTGTCATGGAACAGAACCTGACTTTACCTTGGGGATTCTGAAACTTCACAGTGTGCCTTGGCATGACTTTATTCAGTCGTTTATTATGTGTTTTCTGGACCTACTAAATCTGGAAGCACATTCATCAGTTCTGAGAAATTTCTAACTTGATTTCTTGGAAAAATTCTCCATTTATTTTCTCTTTCTGGAATGGGGATAGGCATCTAAGGAGGTGGGATCCTATGCTCAGAATCATACACAGTGTTATAAATTATGTTGCCTCAATTAAAATATCTGAATAGACATACTCTACCATGTTTATTAATTCACACACTTCAACTAGTAAGATAACAGATATCTGTCTGAAGGATAAAATGAGGACTGCTTTCCAATAACTGATATCTTCATTAGAGAATATCTCTTTCAAAAATATATTTATTAATAAACATATATTAATAAATATCCATCTTTAGGAAAACTTCAACTTAAGAGAAAGGAACAAACAATCAGAATACAGGGCTGTTTTTTCACCTCCAAACAAAAGTTTTTTGGGTTTTATTATATTCTGATTTGGAAATACAAGTGTCAAGCTTTTTCCCTTGAACTTATTTTTAATTGTTAATGAGCTGATCGTCTATGTTTTAAAAAAATGTATCATTTCATAAACAACTGTAGTTAGTTTAATAAAAAAAATGTTAAGGTGGTAGCGATTAAGAACTAAGCTGTTTGACAATTTTCTATGCTCTAACTCAGGGAGAAAAAAATGAACCAGCCAATTTTAGAAGTTCCCTTTTGTAGATAACCTTTCCTCCACCATGGGTAGCTGCCAACCTTCCCAGCAAGCCCATTCTGCTGCAAATGGCGCAAGCGAGACCTTGTTAGCTCACATGATTTATGGCATTTGGCGTGCGGAGGACAGCAAAGATACAGCCTACACCTTGGCCGAAATAGACTGGCTGTGCCCTTGTTGAAAGAGTCGCTCCAGCCACTCAGGGCTATGTGAGAGCACTTCAAAGTCAGCGAGGCAAGCGCAGTGAAGAATGCCAAGACACTGAAAGAGGATAAAGAGAGTAATACTCCGAAACCCTGTCCGTCATTCTGCATACGGCGGAGGTTTCTGAGCTGACCGCGACAGGTACCACCTCTAGCTGCAGTGACATTTTCCTAACAAACTGACACTCATCCTCCCAGTTAACATGAAATGAGTGCTAGTGTGCCCAGTTCACAAGTGGAGAAACTATGAATTAGACATGGTAAATAATTTGTCCACGATCATAAGAACAAAATCTGCCAAGAGCAGTTGAATTCAGGTCCCCTGATGTTCTACTTAAGTGGCTTCTCAACAAAAGAGTCTTAGCAATTTATGATCATCCATGTGGGTTCAGTCACCTTGCCTGAACCTCCAGGGCTCCCCTGAACCTCCAGCCCCAGGACCTCTACCTTGTTTGACCACACCTAACAGCTTTAGGATGAAATTGTGAATTCCTCAGGAAGAGGAAAATGAAGGGAATGGGAAGCTGTTTTTGCTTATTTCTTAATAGATTATATAAACTTACTAAATGGAATACATAAATTTCTATTTATTCTTACTATTTTAACATTTCTTAACAGCTCCTAAGAGTGAGTGAAAAGCAAGATTTCTTTATAGCTTGGTGTGGCAAATGATAAAGTATTCTTACAGTATCAACACTCTATGATCCCTTTTCTACACATGTCTGTACTACTTAACCTCTATTGCTCAATTCAGTTAACAGGAGCACCAGAATAAATATAGATTTGAGGATGAAACTTATTTTGGGAAGTTATTTTAATTGTATTAAATAAATTAAAGTGGTCTTAGTAGTTTTTTTTTTTTTTTTTAAAGGAAGTCTTCTGGAAGCCAACTGAAACTAAAAAAAAAAAAAAAAAAAACATAGTTGGGAAACACAAAAAGCCTTAAATTAATCTTACCCTTGAAAATATATTTTCCAGGGAACTAGTTAAAGATCTCTTAGCTTTATTTTTCAGAATGTCAAGCTTGAACCTTCCACTGCTGGTCGCATTTTCTGGGATTGTACTATTTGAAATAGCCTGTAGGAAGAAAAACAGGTTAAGTTTTATTTTGGAAATCTACAAGGTCAAATGAGGCTTGAAAGACAAACCCAACTAAGCCATTAAAAAGCACAAGAATTCTTTTGTGACTCAATTAAGAAGAAATAATTTATGTTCCATATTAAGAGAATACAGATTATAAGGAAAAGGGTCTTTTTTCACATTGTAAGTAATAAAAAAAAGTGATCTTTACTTTCTTCTTTTCCTTTTTCACAAATAAATTCAGGCTGCATTTAATGAAAATTAAACTTGAGATGTCCATTTTCACTGTGATTTTGATTAACAACTATAACTACCCTTCCCATGTTACATATTTTATACTCAAATTACCAAGGAGACACAGGAAACAAATTTCAAAGGCCGAAGCACCTCGAGTTATTAAAGTGAATTCTGCTACTGCCTCTGTTATAACTCCATTTTCATTTAGGTACATGTCATTTATCTCTTTGATCAACAACTATTCACTGATAGTACTAAATTATATGAAAATCTACAATATGTCCACCATATTAGATGCTACCTATATATGTTCTCCTATTGAAAGAATCAGCTACTGCATATATTACATGATTCTTAACACCACATAGCTTCCAAGAGAGAAAGCTACCACTTGCTTGGGAAAGATGGAATTCACATTAAGCCGTGACATTAAACAATATGCAAGTAGCAAGTCTGATCTTAAGTGCCAGATATAAAAATAGGGTGAATCCCTCACCAATATTTACAAGGAGAAGGGTTTCACTTTGAAAATAATATTTGGTAGAGATTTCTCTGAAAGCAGTGCTCCAAACTCTCCAGAAGGACAGGAACAGAGACAGACAGGCTTCAGCAAGCATGTGCAGGGGGGAGAAAGGCCCAAGGAGCCCACTGGGTCCATGGAACCATCTAAAAAGTTGTTTATGAAAGAAACATGACTCTCATCAAGGAAAGGGGAAAAGGCAAGAATGGATATGGAAATGGCTGAACTGGGCACAAGGTGTGTATCGAGGACCGGATATCGCACTATTCTATGATTTTCAGGTGAATCTTGAGAATAAAATGGGGAAATTGTATTGGCACAGAGCACAAAGCCTGATAAAGCAGCTGTTGGATAAGAATGATTGAATGAATAGAAGGAAGAAGGGAAAGGATGAAAGTTGGAGGGGAGAATTTAACAACGGCCCAGAAAACAAGCAATTTATTAACATCTTGTCCTTTATAACCTCTAGTGCTCTCATCACTGAGAAAGTGCACATCACACTCACTCTGGGCTTCTGGCCTCTGTTCAACATCACTGATACCATCAGAGGTTGATACGAGCGAACCCAAAAATACATTGGTGTTTATGTTCCTTGACTTCCTCATGTTATTGGATATCATTGGTCTTATGACTTGAATTTTTCTCCTCCTTGTTTACAGACCAAAATAGATATTTTAAAGTCTCTTTTGACCCCATTATCTCTTTTCAGTATTTTTCATCAGAACCATTTTTATTCATTTACCACCTGAAATGTGGTTGTTGGCCAGTATGTTCTCCCTAGACTTCAAATCCACTCCAAGCTCACTGTCTTCTATATTTATACCATAAACTCTAACTCCTCTGTGGGCATTCAAATCCACTTTTCTAATTAAGTCTTAAGTCCAATTCCTTTCTCTTCTCCTTTCCATCCCATACCATCCTGAAGTCTTCTTTCTGTATCTCGTAGCTCAATTTCCCCCCAACCTGCAATCTTGACGTCTCTCCCAGCAACACCCCCTTCCTTCCTCGATATATTAGTCCAGACAGTTAAAGCCCTAATGACTGTGCCTCCTGAAAGCACAAGGGATTCAATCCTGCCCCTCTGTCTCCAATCCTTTTCGTTAAGCCTCACTTCAAGACAAGATAATTTCTTGAAAACAGAATCATTCAATCTATTTATATCTAGCACGCTCTCTATTTTGTCCCTATTTATATCATTGTATCAATCACCATATTTTAATTTGATTACATGCTGGTTTCTCTTCTGAAACAGATGACAGAACAGGACTACAAAACTTCCTTAGCAGACACTTGATAAAGTTTGTGCAAAAAAAATTAAATAAATCACTTCCTGGACATTCTATTACAAAAACATTCTAATGGAAGAATGTGATTTTAGACTTAACACTCTCAACACCTTCCCCCACGTATGTTTCCCCAAAATCCACCAAACTTGTGACAGCAGAATTATCACTTTGCAGTATAAATCTGATCTTAATCTCTTACTTGAAACTCTTCAAGGACAATATCAGCCTAGCCTTCAAGGTCATTCATCACCTAACCTCTCATTCCCTACCTTTAAAGTCTCATTTCCCGGCCAACTCACAAGTTTATCCTAAAAAAAAACAAAACAAAAAACCACAATCTATACTTGGGAGGCCTGAATGGATGTTCATCCATGGTTACGAAGTTACTACATAATTTTGTGCTGGGGCCCGACCTGGTAGCATAACAGTTTAAAACGAAGAACAGGAAGCTACCCGCAGCTGCTTCAACAAGTGTTCAATCCCTGGCCAGGGAGCTGACCCACATGGTGTAGCAGACCCCTCCTGTCTCATTCACTGCTCCTCTCAGCAGTGTATCTTGTCAATCTGCCTGTTCTGCTCCTCACTATGTCTCCTCACCTACATGGTATAGCAGACCCTTCCTGTCTCATCCACTGCTCCCCTCAGCAGTGTATCTTGTCAATCTGCCTGTTCTGCTCCTCACTATGTCTCTGGTGAATCCTCTCCCCACCCTTACACCTCTGGCCTATATACAACACTTCTGTATGCATAAATAAATAAGTCTTTAAAAATAATTTTGTGCTCATTTTTCTTTTCATCAACATACTTCCTCAACTTTCCTGATTAGCAAATGTTATCTTTCCTAAAACTTAAAACTCTGTTGCACCTCATACCTTTCTCTCGATTTCTTCTCTTCCCTATACCCTCTACCTCAGCAGCAAAACTAAAACATAGGTACTCTGTGCTCACTAGGCATCCCCTTTTAAAAGTCATGTATTATATTATCTATCTCCATTCCCTTTTTGAATAGTTGAGCTCTTCTCTGGCAGGGCCATCATTCATTCATCTCTTTTTTAACATGTTAAGTGATTTGTTCTGAAAACAGTAAAACAAAGACATAAATTTAATTTGAGGTATGTCATGATTCCTTTGAGCTGTTGCGGATGCTCTTACTTTAGCTTTATGCAGCTGGGCATACGACTGGCTTTGTTTACTTTTATGTTCTTTACTATTTTAGTGCCTTAGTAACTTGCTAAGAAGATAAAAGACAGAATAGACAAGAAGTAGAGGGTGTCTGGCTCTCAGTGAAATGTCCTGAAGATGTACTCTGTTCACAGCACACCTTAGAACACTTCGAGGAAGTGCTTAAAACAAAACAAAACCATATGCATAAAAAAAAAGTTTGCAGCCAAGATGGTCCATTCCATTTTATTGCTCCTTTGGTGTTTGCTTTTACCATTCAGGGTTATGATAAAATAAGATGTCCAAATCAATTTAAAATGATGAATCAATATAAGTAAAAATATATGTACACTTTAAATCATGAAAATTTACCCATATTGTTCTTCTATCAAAACTACAAATGTCTTTACATTTAAAAACATCATTATTTGACCTAAAGAACACATAGGAAAGAAACTCCTGTCATGCCCTCTGTTGTATCTTGACTAAATACAATAGCAAAACCAAAGTAGGTCAAGGAGAAAACATCTCACCAGCGGGCCTTCCCCAATGTGAACGTGTGTCCTCTGCTTGGTTTCACATAGCTGCCTCAGATGTAAAATCACAAGTTCATTTTCCTCCTGGTCATTGACTGGCTTCATTTTCTATTGAACAGATGAAGCAAGAGCACATTAAGACCTCCCTGATCCCCTTCATTTTATTTTCTTCTTACTTGGCTTTCTGTCTGGCACACAAACATAACTAAAAGTCCAAATGCTCTGAGAAGCAAAAGCAACAATGACATTATTGCAAGATAATAGGGCACACAGCCCTGACAGAGGAATGAAAGGGGGGCTCACAACATCAGGAACCAATTCTCATTCTTATATCATATTTGTGAGGACTATAAACGCCGTTACCTGAACTCGTTCAAAGATGTCAGCTTGCTCATTATCTGTCAGTGATGAGAGATGCCTCTGTATTACCAGCTTGGCTCTTGGCGGGTACAGACCTAAGGAAAGTGATGGGCATAGTGTTACATATCCGTGTGGCTGTAACGATTAAAATGCCTGTGAAGCATTGCAGCTTGTCACTTGGCCAAATGGCTCTGAGTGAAATGTCCTGAAGATGTACTCTGTTCACAGCGCACCTTGGAACACTTCGAGGAAGTGCTTAAAACAAAACAGAAAACTTCTTCACAAAAATCATTGACCTCCATCAGAATAATTAACAAAAGATTTCTAAATGATACCAAATCAACAGTTTAAGCAGATACCATTTAATATAACAAATTCTTACCATAGAAACCATAAGTGAATTGACATGAAACTAGTTCCTGACATGGAAATAAAAGGTAAATAGTAGTCTGATCAAAAATCTCTAAGTTTAAAATTTGCCACTTAAAAAAAGATATCTAGTAAATATTAAAACACAGAGTTACAACTTAGAAATCTCTCCTAGTTACGCAGATTCTTGTCTGTGGTGATAAAATAGCAACGGTACCCTTAGTATTTAGTGACATTCAATGACATTAGTATCTAGTGACAGTATTTAGTGTTTTACATTCTTATTTTTTCATATCTGCAACTGACTACACATTTTTAAGAAACAGCGCTCATCTACACAGGTGCCACTTAAAAGTACTGCTACTATGCTTTGCTTAGAAAAAGGACATGCATTTAGCTAATATTTAATGACTCTTATAGGTAAAACAGGACCTTAAAATCACTAAGAGTGAATCAGTTCAAAACATGAACTGTTTTCAAAGAATTAGTTGTCAGAAGGTGTAAAGCACCACCTACCACAGGATCTGTTGTAAGTCATGATGAGAATCAGGAAGAAAAGTTCCTGAGAACATCTCAGCTCTACTTTTCTTCTTGCAAAGTACAACCACGTTCTGTGACAACCTCTGGGACTGTCACTCTCCACAAAAGCTTGGTAACTGGGGGCTGAGTGTCCTGAACAGGCTTTTCAGAGAATATCTTAAGAAACAGATTCCTATGACTGGTTTTGTTTACTTTTGTGTTCTTTACTATTCTAGTTCTACTATTCTTATTAACTTGCTAAGAAGATAAAAGACAGAAAAGACAGGAAGTAAAGGGTGCTTGCTTAAAATAGGTGACAAAATGGCCAGTCCACTATTTTTCTTCTGCCTTCATTTTAGCAGAGAAATTGGAGACAGCCGGAGTTTATTTTCCAATTATACATGCCCCCACCACTACCGTGAAACTGAATTAACTTTCTTCTCCTCAATTTGGACTCACCAATCAGTGATTTAATCATATTGGCAAGGCAAGAATATTATTTAGCTCTCATGCTTGTTAACGCAAAAAAAACAGACTGAGGATTCAGCTCCATCTCCATGATGGTGAATAGCCCTTCAGTTTCACACTCTGAAGTTTGGTCCTCAGAAGATGACATTCCCCTTGGACACTGCCTTCTCAATTCACTTTGGTCCACTGACATGGCTAGCAGTGTTCCTGCTAGTCTAAACAGCAAGAGGCGCTCAACACCAGGACAGGTGAGGAGGGCTCACATCAGCATACTTAATCGGCTTCTTCTTTTTAATTTCCAATGTAAGTAAAGCTCCTTATGAATGTAGTCAGGTGTACTCACAAGAATGCTGTATTCCTGACTGCTATAAAACACATCTAGATACTTTTATATATCGGTCTAATTTTCTACAGCTGTCAATTTGTGTTTAATCAAAATGTGGTCTCCCTTCCAGCTTTACATTTTGTACCTAAGCATGAAATAAGAAGTGATACCGTGACCTTACTTAAATGAAAATAACTTTTTGGGGAAAACATAAATGCTGAGGTTTCAAAGCAGTATGACCCTGAAAATCCCTGCCTTCTGGTATGCTCTCTGTAAGAAGACAGTGTGTGGCTTTGAAAAATAAACCAGGTCTTCCCTGATGGAACAAGGGGTTAAGTCTCAGCACTATGGTGCTATCTGCAGCCACAGTAGCTGAAGTTCACTCCTTCCCCCCATTCCACCCAGGCCAGGGAGCTGACCCACATGGCACAGCAGACCTCACCTGCTCACCTGCTGCTCCCCTCAGCAGTGTACTTCAGTAGATCCATCTGTTCTGTGCCCCACTCTGTCTCTGGTGAATCCTCTCACCTCCCTTCCCCCCCCCCCACAACTATGGCCTATACCATAGTTCTTATATGCATGAATAAGTAAATCTTTAAAAAGAAAAAAGAAAAATGAAGAACCAGTTCACAGCCTTCTGAGGATTGGTCCTGTGAGCAAGGGAAGGTGTTGTGTGTGACAACGCCTGTTTCATTTCATAAATAAAATGAAAATTAAAAACAGGACCTATCTTTGGGATTTCCATTATGGATTAAGTGGGCTAATACAGGCAAAGCACAACAGTGCCCAGGTGAGTGAGTCCTAAAAAAGCTTCTGCTTCCTTGTTGCTTTTACCATCACCCAGAGCACTGGCCTCTCTTACACTCCCCTTACCCGTTGTCTAAAACGAAGGGCAAATCCTGAGTGACTCCTTCTGCAGTCACTGGCCCGGACTTTTTGCTCCTTTTTGAGCAAAGGTTGAGCAGCTTCTCATTTTTATATTGGGACTTCTGTTTTCCACTTCAGAGGAGTGTTTTTTAAATATGATTTATATCTTTTCCTTCTGGGGTTCTATCTTTTTTCTTGTAGTTAAAAAGAGTTCTTACAAATTCTGGATACCAATCTGCTCTCTCTTCAATCCTTGCTTATCATTTAACTTCCCAGTAAGCAGAGTCTGTAGGGGAAAATTATATTTTCCTGGTCAATTTGGCAACGTCTTCTCTTCATAGTTTTTCCATTTCTGTGTCTTAGGAACAGTTTCCTTGCTCATGGACATAAGAATATCCTTGGCTTCCTTTAATATTTTACTCATTTACACTAAGGTCTTTGATCCACCCAGAGTATATTTTGAGTAAGGGAAGTAACAGACTCACTCTCCCTTTGGAGAGCAAACTGACCAGCTTACTGTGGGTATGTATTAAATTGCACTTCTTCTTTTGTGCAATGAAACTCAAACTTTTTCATATATATATTTTTTATTTTTAGCAAAGAGTAACTAGAGGTAGGGGGAGGTAAGTCAGAAAATCACTTCTCCTTCAAGCCTGCCGCGATCCTCAGAACACATTTTTTTTTTTTAACTCTTTTTTATATGAAACCAAAACAAACTCTTGGAATGTAGAACTGAAGTTACCAAATTGGGAGTGGGGGAGCAGCAAAGGGTGAAGTGGAGGGGGTCCCCGGGACAATGCTAGAGGGTTACTGGTGTTTTGGTGGTCACTGTGGTGTGGTAACACACATCGAAGAGGTATGAACCCAGATCCTGAAATCATACACAGTGAGATAAATCAATGTTAACTTGATTAAAAATAAAAATGTTACCTAAAGTTAAAAAAAAAGTCTGTTTTATGGAATTGCATCATTGTGTCTGTCATTTTCAAATGCCCCCCAAAAGACAGGCAAGTTGTCTCCTAACTTGCACGGAAAAGGCACACATCATCTAGTGAGAAGTGGGAAAACAGAGACTTCAATAAACAGCTGACACCCTCAGATGGGTTTGCCTCCCTTCATTCACTCAACAAATATTTGATTGGTTCCCCCTAGGTTCAGAGAAGAATGTTAAGAGCTGTGGGAAACACAACTCCATTCCTTGAGTCAACCTTCAGGAGAAAAACTTAAAAGAATTTCAAGAACGGAGAGAAAGACACAGGCCACGCCCCAGCACTGACAGCACACACTGATTGGACGCCAGAAACGATGCAGTGGGCCCTTATTTCACCCAGAAACAAAGACCCATTGGGACAGCAGCAACCTTCTCCTTTCCCAAATGCCAGAGCAAACCCGTCCTCTGCCAAGGTCAAGTTGTACTGTACCTTCAATCCGTTCGCAGAGCTTATGCAAAGAGTGCATAGGACAGGCCTCACACAGCTTGATCTTGGTTTTGGCACTCTGCAGGGCAGCGGCCGTGCTGAAGGCCTGCTTCAGTGTCAGCATGACCTCGTCAACCTGCAGGAAGCAGCAAAACTCAGAGCTGGACGTTTGCTCCTTGCGCGACACATTAATATTCCAACAGCCGTGTGTGACATTGAGTGAGTAGTAAATTACGGAATTCTGATGTCAGTGGTGCTGGTAGAGCACAAACAGTGGGTTGTGAAGCGGGACCTCAATTACACACATAATTGAAAGCCAGATGAAATAAAACCATTTTAATCTGTGTAACAGAATATTTATCTGGTACGTGGATGCTATTTTTAACCCCGCTGAGTGCTATGTTATCACAGACAGCATAACTGATAGTCAATCAGGACTTTGTTTTGTTTAATTACGTAGTTTATCAGATAAAGAGCTGTTTTATCTCAATATACAGGGAACAACAAAATGGGTTTGTTTTTAATAGGCACACTTGCTTTAATAGGTATCCTGGTTATCCTTAAATCATGTTCAGTATAAAAACAAACCAAACATGTTTAAGCAAAGGCCTGGTGGAAATGAGTCCATTTAAGTAATATTGGTGCCCTCTGTGAGCACTGATGGTCTCAGCTCTTGCTTGAGCTTCTGTTTATTATCATTTCACTCTGACGTCGTGGTTTCCAATAGTTGGCTCTCACACTCGGTCAGCAGTTTGAAACCTGCCAGCTACTTTTCCTCTTGCTCTTCCAGTGACTCAGTTATTAATTAAATCTAGCCTTCTAACCTCCCAGCGGCTTCTCTGAGGTAAGCTGCCAGATCATCTCCATGTACTGGTAAATGGACTTCAAGCCATATTTTCTTCTCTGTAACGTAATCATCAGTGTAAGCTGTGGTTTTCCCACACACGGGGCAGAACTGGATCAAAGTCTATAACCAGCACTGGGAGCTCTGGAGCACGGGGGTCTCATTCCACTAGGTTTGCTATTCACATCTACATACCAGCCCTCTAAGCCATGCTTTCAGACTCTTTTTCCTTCTGCCCATGGACTGGTTTAACAATAAGCTATCATTTACAGGATTTAATCTACTGCAGTTGAGTGTATGAGGAACTTATAAAAAGAAACTTTATTCTTATTACTCAAAGAATCGGAGATAGAGAGTGAACACTAAGCAGTTGAGTTATTCAGTTCTGTCTTACCACATCATCAGCATTTTAAAAGGTGAATGAGGCCCTCCCTGGTGGAGCAATGTGTTAAGTCACAGCAGTATGAAGCTTCCTGAAACCACTGCAGCACAAGTTCTATCCCTGGCCAGGGAGCTGACCCACGTGGCACAGCAGACTTTCCTGTCTCGCCCGCTGCTCCCCTCAGCCATGTATTTCAGGCGATCTGCCTGTTCTACAGCTCCCCGCTCTGTCTCTTGTGAATCCTCTCACCACCCCCAACACAACTGTACCCCAGTTCTTGCATGCATAAATAAATCAATCTTTTTGAAAAATGCTTAGAAAATGATATATTTTTAAAAAGTTAAATGAGTAACTTCATATCATTTGTAATAAAAATTAATGACTCATAATTCTTGCCTTTACACTATAACTAAAATATAAGTTTTTTTTCTTGAAAATAAAAGCACACCATGTTTAAAGACTTAACTTTGCATTTTTTACTTCATGTGGCTTGATATGCATTCAAACTGAATCTCAATTATTTAAGTAGATGTTTCTCCTATTTTCTAGTTTGTTCATTTATTTTTTAAAGCACTGAAGAGGTTAATCATCTATTCAGCCTTCATAGAAGTTTATTATTTGTTACTCAGTAAGACTGTTTTGGAAAATGCCTTCAGTGGAAATATTGAACTTTTATGTTTTCTTATCTATTTCTAATTTTTAAGTAAAGTAAAATGATATCTCAAATGACCTGCCTTCTGTGTTTTATGCCAAGTGTGATTGCTTAACTCCACTTTTGGCCCTCAGTAAGTCCACCTCTCAGGAAGTCTGGTTCTAGGCATACCGGGCTGTCCTCCAACAAGTAAGTAGGGTTAGGTGTAACACCCCCCCCCCAATATATGTATTAATCCTCTTTTTAACAATTGTTAACCAGGCAGTGGTCTATTTCAGTGTTAGTCACCCACACAGTGACGAGTTCTCCATATTTGTAGATTCTAAGCCAATGTATCATACTCCACGCTATGTATAATCTTGTCACTCCTGGCCAGTGGTGTGCCTAAAAGTCCTATTTTTTACCTCTGGCTCTGAAACTAAATGGTACTGATTACTTCAATTTTTCTTCAGGTGAAAAATCTGACATAGATTCCTGTTCTCTAAGACACTGTAACTTCTCATCATCATTTAAAATGTAAATCCCGGGGGGTGGGCAGGGAAGTGCACGGGATTATGGTGATGGCACACGGGTGACTTGGTGATGGGAAACCCGCGGGGATTACAATTGAGATGGAAAAAAAAAATGTACAAAATGATGTAAAAATAAACTGTTATAAAATAAAAATAAAATAAATGTAAATCCCAACTCTGAACCTATCCCCCCTCCCACTGTTAAAGGGAAGGATGCCGTAAAGGAACTCACAGAGTTTTGTGGACTCCACCCCCTACTCCAGCTTTCTGGATTCCACCCCCTACTCCAGTGACTAGAAACTACAACTCCCAGCAATACCTAGGAGAGAACTGCGTGGATCCAAGGGTGGAGCTAAGCAGGCATTCTGGGACTTTGGGAGATAAATAGGGAGCCATTTTCCAACTCTGCTCTCTCGCCCAGGGAAATGGCTCTCGGGACCATGTGCCTGGGGGCTATCAGTTAGTTTGTTACCAGAGCTCCAAGTCAGCCCAGCCAGTAAGATATTCTAGTTACCTTATCTCTCACGTTCCTTCTCTGGGTTGTTCCTTTTCCTTTCCCTTTTGTAAGTAAACCCATTATTGATCCTTTTGTGTGTGTCTGCAGTATAACTAAATTTTAAGTGCGGGCATGAGGGCCCACAGACAGGCAGCCCAGTTCACACCACCTCTTACCTGTCCTCCCCACTTGATCCTTAGTTGTTAGAGATCATTACCAAAGTACAAACAAAACCATTTATAAGACAAAGATAACTTCCTGGATTGTGTACCTCATTCTTCTACCAACATACTCTAGCATCATGCTTATTTCATGAAATATTAACTCCATTCAAATTCTGAATCTAGGTCGCCTGAGTCTTTCTTTCTTTCTACTGTACTTTTCCTGGGTACTGGATACAAAAGAAGGCAGGTGGGAGTACTGACCTCTAAATGTAACCCTTCAGGACCCACCAAAACACCAGTGCCGCTGATCAACTCATAGCAATCGCAAAAAGAAGCAAAGTAAAAATGCCATAGTGTATTCTCTGTCCTCAGAGAAGATAAGTCAGCATACGTGGTTTTGCAATACTCAGTCTTACACAACTGCCACGCCCATCAATCCCAGCACTGCTTAGAACTATTACATTTAATTGACTGTTTACTTTTGTTCTATATCTCGGCTGCTTGAGCCATTCCTTGTTATGCAGGAACATTTACATTTAATTTTTCTGTTAGCTTTTAGCTCTAATCCTTCACTATTCAGTTAAGAGCTTACTGATAAAATGAGAGCAAACAGGGCTTCAAAGATTCTAGAATGGGCCTCTGCTTAAGAAGAAGGATGCCAAAACTGAGCTTCTGATCCAGCATCAATGTAACAGGAAGACATTCTCAGCCAGTCATGTCTGTTGCCCTAGTCACAAAGCTTCTTATGGGGCAAAAAATGCAGCCCGTTCCCACTTTCTGTTCCAACTCCCTGTGTCCAAAATTCATTCTACGTGCATAAAACAAAAATACTAAAAACTACAAGTAAAAATGGGTGGACATAAAAAGGTGTTATAGTCTTGCTTTTGGTACAGCTTATATAGTAATCAGAGTTCCCTAGAACTAAAAAATGATTGCCGGAAGTAAAGAGTATACATACTCAATCACTCAAAACACACTTAACATGCAGGTGCTATCCTAGAATTGCTGGGGAACATGACCAGGGAAAGGAGGCATGGGTAAAATGGATGAACGGGGTCCCTGCACGGGGATGGAGAGCAACTTGACCCTAGGTGGTGATGTGGTGGTGTGTACACAGGTGTCCAACTATATACCACTGCACGCCTAAAGCTTGGACAGTGCTACACATCGGTGTGATCTCAACACAAATTTATCTTCAAAACAAAATGATGCTTATCTTGCGAATGGCCTAGTGGAGTAGAAAGATACATAAGCGAAATGAAAAAGGGGGTTGGTGCGGCAAGACACATGACAGAAATCGAGGAGTCGATTCCTTTAACAAAGTCAGAAAAGGTTTACTGGGCTGTAATGTTTTAGCTAGGTCCTTAAAAAAACATAACAGAGGGCCCTCCCTGGTGGCACAACAGGTTAAAGCACAGCACTTTGAAGCTATCCTCAGCCATTGCAGCAGGAGTTCGATTCCCGGCCATAGAGGTGATCCACATGACGCAGCAGACCTCTCCTGTCTGGCCTGCTGCTTCTCTCAGCAGTGTATTTCAGTGTTCTGTTCCCACTCTGCCTCTGGTGAATCCTCTCATCCCTCACACCTCTGCCTGTACCTCAGTTCTTGTATGCATAAATAAATCTTTTATCAAAAAAAAAGCACACATAAAAGAATAGAAGGGGGAGAGAATTCAACTCACAGTAATGCAAGAGGCAATATGAGAGTGAATGTGAAAACAGGTAACAGAAGCATGTCTAAACGTCAACAGTCCTAATACAGGGTGTGTGGGAGTGAGACAGTGCTAGAGAGAACTGATTTTCAAATGCCCAGGAAAGAAAATGATGTTTAAGATAAGAAAGTAAGCAAAGGCAGGGTTAATAAAATAAAAGGGGAAAAAATATTCCCTTTTCTGTTGCTATCAGCATTAGCTAGTCTGATGTGCACAGCAATTAAAAGGGAAAGAATAGCTTTCCTCTGTGGCTGCCTGAAGAGCCACCACCATCATGAATGACACAGTAACTATCCGGACTAGGAAATTTATGACCAACCGACTGCTTCAGTGGAAACAAATGGTCTTGGATGTCCTTCACCCTGGACAGGCTACAGTACCTAAGACAGAAATTCGGGAAAAACTAGCGAAAATGTACAAGACCACCCCTGATGTCATCTTTGTATTTGGATTTAGAACCCATTTTGGAGGTGGCAAGACAACTGGCTTTGGCATGATTTATGATTCCTTGGATTATGCAAAGAAAAATGAACCCAAACATAGACCTGCAAGACATGGCCTGTGTGAGAAGAAAAAGACCTCAAGAAAACAGCGAAAGGAAAGCAAGAACAGAATGAAGAAAGGCAGGGGGACTGCAAAGGCCAATGTTGGTGCTGGCAAAAAGTGAGCTGGAGATTGGACAACAGAAAGAGTAAAGATTCTGCAGTGACTTTATCTGTATCTGTGGTGATTGTGCAGATTTATCATGAGGATTCATAAATAAAACCTTTTATGTGTCAAAAAAAAAGGGGGGGGGGAGAATAAAAGCTCTACCTTACCTCTGAACTTTTAAAAATATTCTTTGGCAACACAAATGGATTTACTAAACTCAAGAAAGTATCTAGGCTTAAAAACAACAACGAGGTGAGTGGTTTACGTTTTCCTGCTATGGTGGTGCTTGAAAGGGCAGAAACACATTTCTGGGTGCCCTCTTCCATTGCCAGACCGCCGTGCAGGGGGCTCGTTACTGAAGTGTGGGCGGGTGTTACTCAGCCATCACACCACTCACCAGAGATTCGCTGGCACACTGGAACACATAACAGATATACTGGCTCAGCCCGGCCTCTGGAGATTCCCGACAGATGAAGCCAAAGTGGTCCACATGCTTTATACCCTAGAGGAGGGAAAGAAACTCAGTGTTTATGGGAAGATATGCTTCTCACCCACAACATGGAAATAGACATCACTTCTCTGCTTTCATACTTCCATGATTTTCTCCTCCACGGCACTGTGAAAGGGGATATAATACCAGAGCAAAAGAATAGGGTGGCCCTTTGACATATAAAATAAGGGATAAGACTAACTTTCACTGTCTTGTTTCTGACACTCTGTGACTTAGGGCTGCAGGAAGAAAATAAGATAGCCAGATCCACTGGAGCTTGTAATAAAACTGCAATTCAGTGTTTGCAAGTGATGAAGCTTTCAATTTATTGGTCTCCTTAGGCAGTCTGGTGATCCATCATAAATCCCTGTTCTTGTCTTTACGAAGACAGCAATCAGAAAAACGACAGCTGACAATGCTCTAATTAAATGGCCTGCAGTTCCCTAAGGTATGCTACAATCATGTTTATCTATAGACACTCAAGGAGCCACAACTGGTAGAAAATGGTTATGTTAAAGATCTTATACAGAGGTCAGTTCTCCAAATTCACAAATCACTGTATACTTCCTGAAGTATAACCTCTGCTATACTTAACAGAAAATTCTGAACCATCTTTGAACTTGATCAGCCTGAATACAAATATCCTAGTTAGTATTAGATAGCATTTATTTTATATACCCTAGTTAGTAGATAGTAGTTATTTTAATAGCAAGCACAGAACTTCAAAAAGCCAGGTCGACCAAAAAAAAAAAAAAAAAGTGAAAGTGTCCTGCAATCATCTAAATGAAAAAAGAAAAAGCAAAAATAAAAACAAAACAGGCTGGGCCCTCCCTGGTGGGCGCAATGGGCAAGGACAGGTAGCACTGCAAACCAGCCACAGCGCCTCAGTGTGAGTTCGATCCCCACCCTGGAGCTGACCCACATGGCACGGCAGACCTCTCACCGCCACTGCACCTCTGGCCTCTATCCCAGTACTGTAGGCATGAATAAATAAATCTTTTTGAAAAATGAAAAAATAAAACAGGCTTTGGTGTCAGATTTTGCTGCATTCTTGACTTAAGCAACCTACATGGTGTACAGTGGTGCTCAGAGGCTAATAATTACATCAGAGGCACCATTCCTCATCTCACAGAACAGCATTTGTCTCAATAACAGGGATTTTTGAGATTTAGAACTGAAAGCTATCTATTTGGTGCCTAGCCTATTCAGCAAAAGGTAGCCACTATTCTCAAAATGATACATTCATTATCTTAGAAGGAAGTCAACTCTGGTAACAAAAGGTCAACAAAGAGTGAGACAACTCACAAGGTGAAAAGCAGCTTCATCTGGTCAACTTACTGGTGACCACAGAGTCTCTCTACTATAGAAATACTAGATGGGAGAATCTATGGTCCTCATTGGCTCAGCAAGTCTGCAGGCAGAAATCATGTTTCCAATAAAGGAAACCACCCCCTTATTCCCTATGCTTGCCAGAGAAAGTCTCACCCATGTTGAAGAAAGAAATGTTTGCAGGCATGTGTTTAAAACACCACACCTGTTTCTGAACGCAGTCACATTGATCAATGCAATCTTGCGGCAAGAAGCCCTAAGCTCAGGGAAACCTGGCGGGAAGCAGAGGTTAACTGACAATTACTCTGATCAAAGGCCTTTCCACAAAAGTCCTTCCTATTTGTTTCATTCTTTTTTCTGAAGTAGAAACTCAGAATATAAAGTTTACTTTGAAAAATAGAAAAAAGCAAAGGCAAAAATCGCTCTTGGACTGCCAAAGTGAAGTATGTGGTTTGGCTGGTTCCATTTTTCAAATGATTTGGTTTGTTAGTGCATTTGGATATATGATGAGCAGTGCTAGATTCTTCTTTGGGAGGCTTAATGGTATGAGGGGTCATGGGCATAGATTTTTGGACGATTCTTCTTGTTCCACAGGGCAGGTACTCCCATAGTTTGTGTATCACCCCCCAGTACTTGACGCATGTAGAAATGTTCATGGAATAGTTGCTGAACCCCTAAGTGCTAAGTTCTGTGTTAATACATCTTGTTCTGATGTTCTTATCATAGAGAATAAGACACTCAGAATGAAGATACCTGCCCTTATGACTTCATAGCATCTCCCCCAATAAACAGATAGTAGCACGGCGCCTGTACTTCTTTAGTATAATAATCTTTCTACCAAATCTTCTGTCCTTCAAGTAGGCATTTAGAAATCTATAATATGTCCTCCCTATATTCAGATGTCACCTTTCTCTAAGTTATGAGTGGAAAATTTTTATTCTCACAACATAATTTTATGTCTCCAAGTAACAGAACAAACACGAAACTGCACAAGCTGAGTTCAACAATTAACACGATGTACAAAGACTCTCTTGTCATGTTCGAGAGAAGAGAGTCTGTGTGTATAATGTCTATGGCAATGCTGACTCAAAAATGTAAAAGTCTTGATTTTTCAACATTAAAATTTAGCAAGGGGGCCCTCCCTGGTGGTGCAGCGGGTTAAAGCACAGCACTAAGAAGCTTAAGCCATTCCGCATGAGTTCGATCCCCGCCTGCCCCGGAGG